GTGCTGATGATGCTGGCCCAAAATTTCATGCCCAAAACCATCCCTGCCGTGGGGGGAAGCTTCAAAAACGCAGCCAAAAATCACCTTAATTTTTGACATCCAAAAACACGCCTCCAGGGCCTCCAAGGGAAAAGGTCGGCGGACCGGGCCGCGCCCCTATAAGCATAGCTTAGCTAGGCGTGCATCCGCACTGGACCACGACGGCCAGGCCGGATTTAAGAGCCTCCGGCTCAGTCCGCCGACCCCGGAGGCGAAGTACGGCGGAGCGTCGCAACATAATCGGCCGGCGTCGGCGCACAGCGCAATGCTGCAGAGGACAGTCGCGAAGGCGTGAGTTGCAAGCGGGGATTTTCGGGGCTGACACGAAACCAGGCAGCGCAAGAAGATTCATCCGAGCTCGCCCAAGATAGCAGCTGCTGGCGGGGCGGCCAAAAATGTTTTCAGGACCAGCGCTGCATTCCAACGTTGCAGACGACTCAATCCTTGGTGAGAGCCTGCCGTGCGTGGGCACCGTCACGATCATGTCCAAACTTGGAGACCAGCATGAACGTGGCCTAATCTCCTGAGAGCTTGGGGCCGGGCCCCTCAGGGGCTTGGCCTGGGCCCCAGGGCGCCCCAAAAAATGTTTGCGGGACCAACGCTGCATTCAACCTGCTGGTCATGCCAAACTTTGAGAGCTTGCCGCGCGTGAAGCTTTGAAACCAGCATGAACGTGGCCGGTCTTTCAGAAGCTTGGGGCTCCGTTTCTGAAAAACCTCCTGGTGGGAGCCTGGCGAATGGGTGGGGGACGGCTGAGACGGCTGTCTCAGAGGTGGGGTCCTGGAGGGAAACGCAGGTGGGATACCCCCCTACCTCTCCCCTCCCCCCTTTTTTTGTGCTGTAAGCAAGAAAAGAAGAGGGTTTTCACCCTCTCCGTCTACTGAAACCATCCAACACGCCCCCCAAGATCGGCGGATAAGGATCCTACTCCTACTATTAAGGGTAGCATATCAGGGTCCTCTATTTTCGGAAACTCCAATTCAGGCTTGAGATCTTTAGACTTTGTAGCCTCAGCCTCGACTTTAGCTGGGAGAGACAGCTTCACAGTTTGGCAACATGACGGTGGAACAGCAAGATGTATCTTCACAACTCAATTCCGGTGAGCCTCACGGCCACAAGCCTCTGACCTTATGTCGCTTGATTGGCTTTAGTGCTCTTGAATGATCCAGGTGATAGGAAGGCTGTCATTTGTTGCAGGCGCTCCGCCATCGCGAGTCGGATGCACCAGTTTCCCGTCGGTTCTATGGAATCAACAAAGGCAAGTCTTGTACTAAGCATTATCATCTATCTTTCTGGTGGCTCGCAGGCCCACAGCGGGAGCAGGGCAACACAGAAACAGTGGGATTGCTGGGGCGGGGGCCAGGATGTTCAGCTGCAGCCCTTTATGGAATGCAGCTAGACATTGTGTGTCGCTAATGTTCATGATGTCGTTGCACGACTAGGGAAGATAAGCCGCATGTCTGGTTCGCCACCGGAACCTAGAAACCATGTCAGCAGCCCAAATGGCACCAGCCAGGCCGTCAGTTTGGGGTTCCTGCACAAGCACTGTACATATTTCTTTCCTCATGTCAAGGCCAATGGGAAAGTCGGCCGACTGTGCTGGGGAACTCAGAACCTGTGGTTAGGTTCCATTTCCAGCAATGCAGATAAGCTTTGCTTGGTGAATCCACGAAGTGTGGCCATTCACAGAAGGCTTCTTCTGACAGTTAGTTGTCGCATTCGTCTTCCTTTGTGCTTCGCGCATTTGCATGCAGACCTCCTAGCATTCCTTGTAGGAACGCACAAGTTGGAGCTTTAGGGTAAAGCGCCCAGCACGAATCATTCCTCCACCGGAATGAAGCGCAGCGTCTGTAGTAGTGGAAAAACAGAAGTCATTAACTGACGGTAGTTGTACTTGTCGACAAGTAGAAGCTACTGGCCAACTACCACTGTTTGATATATTCTTTCATGAATTTTCGCGGTACGGACCCTGTTAGCTTTTAAATTGGATGCTGCTGTCGTCGTATCAGTGAAGCAAAGATCGACTGATGCATGCACTCGAAACGCCAAGGAGCGACCCCCACACCTCACAGCCAAACTCCCAACCAGCTATACTCGTAAGCCGTGAACTCCGGCCCAGTCCGAAGCTGTGAAAATGGAGCCCTCTGATGGACGCAAAGTCCCAAGGAAGGAGAAGGGCGTCTACGAGGATTACCTGAAATGACAGCGGGACTACCAAAAGTGGCGCGCTGCTGCGCCTAGGAGAGGAAACTGCCTAAAGGGCCTCCGAAGACTAGGTTTCGGGTTCAGGGTTGTCCCTGACCCCGCAACCTCTCTGCAAAGCCGCCGCCGCTCTGCGACTGCAGTTGAAAAAGCTCGGCATTGATTTGGGGCGAGCGGTTGAGTCCGCTTGTCTGCCGAAGCTTGATGCAAAGTCGTGGTCCTGCCTGGTTCATGACCTTAGAAGCTGCTGCTAGCAGTTATTACCTATTGCTGTACTGGCAGACTTGCTTGACGAGAAGAATCTCAGCAATGATGATGATAACTTCATCCAAACTTGTATCTTGGTAGTATATACCCCAACACTGCAAGCCCTCAGCCCTAAACCCTGAACCGTGAACCCCCACCTTGATGATGGACTGTCGCAGTCCTCAGCTGTCGGTGGTCTAGGCCATCGCATCAGAATCGACGCGAACTTCAGCAAAGAGTCTGCAAATGGGAGTTTCCCTAAATAGGGGGACCCCAATATAGACCCCAAAGTGCTGCAGGTCGGATGTACATTCCTCCATGTCTGGTTCCTTGATAACTTGCTCCCGGCTTAGGTGAGCCAACGCGCTCAGCAGGCTCCGCTCTACGACGAGGCTTATATGTATACATATATGTAGATATATCATATAATATGTAGTATACACCTGAGCTGGGGCAAGCCTGGTGCCAAGAAGACGAGGTGGCAGTCATGGCCGTGGGGCGCATCCTTGAGCAAGGTCCGGCCAAGAAGCTCTGGGCCAGGGGCTTTGCCAGCAGGAGGAGGGGCAGGAGTGAATAATCGGGCCCAAGGTTTATAGGGGGTTATATTGAGGTAATATTGGGATAATGGAAAGGAAAATGGAAACTACTCAGGATTATAGGGATTATATAGGGTACATTTGTGGGGTAATGGTAATATGGGGATAATGGAAAATAAAATGGAAACTGCTATAGGGTTTAGGGTATAGGGTTTACTTTGGATACTGGCGCCACTCACTAGCACCTGGATAGTATGTAGAACATGTTTATATAGAGCCCTTCCTGTGACCCCGATTATAGACGTTCATGGGTGGGGGCAGGACCCAAGTTAAGTGTGGTTTAGGGTTTAGAGTTTCTGTGTGCGAGCCCCGACGCAAAAAAGGGCTAGCATGCAGATGGAGGGTGACGTTCAGTATTATCAAAGGAATATGTTCGTAGGGCTATTCTTTTGGCTGCTGGTTCAGGCATTGGGGGAGTGAAGCTAAGTATTCAGCGTATATGTGGGGACTATGAGCAGGGGTTAGTTTCGGAGAAGGGGGTATGGCACAAGAAAATGGAAAACATTTTTCCATTGCAGGCTTTTTGGCTAAGCCATGCTGATGACTCAGGTCAAGGATGGAGCCCTGCGTCGCATGGCCAAGGAGCAAGGCAATCGCATGCGATTCCACGCACCCTCAACCCGATAAACCCTGCATGTTCACCTGGAAGGCTTGGACTCTTCCAAGATGACAAAGCCGGACGCCATAGCAGCCCGACTCGCACCCGTCTGGGGCTGGGAGGCCGGAGCACGCCAGCACATCTCGGCACCTGTGATGGAAGAGTTGTCAGGTGAGCCCCCAGGAAGATGCGGCCTTCGGCGACGAGTTCGCGGTGTCCATGAAGAAGGCAGCGCCGAAGCAGAACAAGAGTGGAAGGTGAAAAGATTGACCCGAACACTCTGCTGAAAGGCCAAGAGCTGAGGGGCCACACGTCGCCTCTCCGTTTTCAGTCGTTCTGGCCTTGGGCCTCGAGCTTCCAAAGGCGGAGCCCGAGCCCTGCCAGCTGCCCAGCAGTCTCACAAAAAGATTCAGACGGCATGGGCGTCTGGAAAGGCAGCTGCTGCTGCATCGAGCTGCACAGTGCGCAATTACCCTGTGCAATCAAAGGAGAGCCGTAGTGGGAGACATGCTTGCGCCCTGCAAAACACAATTCTGGGCTTGTCGGCTCACCATCACAGCTCTGGCTGCCCAGAAGTCTGCACCAGCCATCCCAACTCACAGCGGCACTTCGACAACGACTTGGAAGGGATTATACATGACATTTCCTGTGAGATATCGTATGAGCTATAGGCAAGCCATCGCAGCTGCTGCCTAAGTAATATTACAGCTGCAGTGCTAGAACTGTACTATTGATGTTATTAGCCGCTTCTTCAATTTGCCGGTGGGCTGCATCGCACCTGCCTCGAGAGGGTTCGAAGCTGAGGTATGCATGCGCCAGGTTTGAGCCACTAACCTTCTATATTAATGGAATACACTTACTATACTATATTGTACTATACTGTACTATAACTTTTCGCTCGGATGGTGCTGCGACCGAGACCCTTCAGCAGAAAAGGGGACACGAAGGCCATGATGCGTAGGATGGTGGCCGACAACAGCACGCCAGTTCACGGGAAGGGAAGCCAAGGCGGGTGCTAGAAGTTGGCGCCTGCATGAGGGTATCAGGGTGGATGTCCTTGGAGAAGTTCCGCGACAGCATCATGCCAAGCTTGTCCAGCCGCCAATCCTCTAAGCGAAGGATGCAGGGCAGGTAAGCCAGGTGTTTCGGAACTCATCTGCAAGACAATCCTCTCACGGGGGTCCCAAGACCTTGACAGAGAAAAGCTCATCAATCGTTGCAAGCTCGCAGCATCCAGCAACCAGTGCTGGAACCAGTGAGCTGATCCAAGGACCATGGTGGACGAGGCAGCTTTGGCCGCACTGAACACTGTCGCAGCCTGCACCCGAGGCTGGAGAAAGCAACAAGCGGTGGTTTTCATGTACTGTACATGCTTGGCGCTGCCAGGTGCTTGAATTAATTGATCTATAGGATTCTTCAGCCGCTGGAGCACATCACTATTGCAGACAGCAGTGGGCTCAAACTGTTAGAAAAGCCACAGCCGGAGGGGGCGCAGTCATGAGCGCAGAGTTGCAGTCCACACATTTTCTTGGTGACATCATGAAGTATCGACAGACTTCGCCGACGGCCTCAGAAGCCACAACCTTGCCGTGTGGAAGTGAGGCCGCCTACCAGGACTCAGACTTTGACACAGACTCTGACTGCCCAGAAAGCCCCTTGAATCAGACCAAGCTGCCTCCTACAGCAACCCAAGGGGCCTTGGATCTTGTGCGGAAAGAGAGCAGATTGCTCGTCGGCCTGATCAAGGACAACCTCAACGCTGGCGCCACCCCTGTCGTTGTCATGTACGTTGCCACCGCATGTGCGACGACGGGAGCCACCTGGCGCGGGACTCTTGCTGCAGCCGCGATGGGCCTACTTTACTTGACCGTCTTCGATCTGGTGAACCAATGGAGCGGTGTCACGGAGGACGTGATCAACAAACCTTGGCGGCCCATCCCCAAGGGTTTGATGACAGCTGCTGGCCTTGTATTTGGCATGGCTTTTCCGCTTGCTTGCGGTTTTCTTGTCTGTAGGAACAACATGTGTTCACAGCTGTGTTCACTGGCTGAGCTTAGGTTTGGGGCTGCAAGGTGCGCTGTGGAGTTGTGGCAATCGCATGTCTGGCCGTATCACACGCGTACAGCTTGATGCTGCCATGCGTGCTGTGCTTTTCAGCAACCTTCGGCTATGCAGTGGGGTGGGACAAGAACTTCGTCTTTCGAGGATTTGTGTTCATGCCCATGATCTTCATGATCCACTTCATTGTTGCAACGCGACTAGCGCTCGGGCCGGCTTCGGAGAGCAAGGCACTCTGGGAATGGGCGGCCCTTTTCGTCGCCTACTACACGGTTCCTTTTCTGCTCGCGGACCTCCGGGATGTGCTGGGTGATGCAGAAGTGGGCCGTCGGACGCTTCCAGTGTTACTTGGGGCCGGTCGCTTCCGAGCAATGCTTTTTGTCTTAGTTGCCATGCTATCGCCCCCAGCACTTCAGCAAATGCTGGCTGCAGTTTGGGCAGAACAAGCAGTCCTTGCGTGGGTGTGCCTACTGTGGAACTTCATGTTTGTTGTTGCAATCTTGTATTACTTGGCCGCTGGGAACAGCAGGCGAGAGCACATCCTTGCTTACAAGCTGGTGGTTTGCATGTACACGTTTGGCACGGCCCCGTGCTTTTATTTCATTATTCCGGCCACCCTTCAGACGTAGCTCAACAGCATCTCTCTGAGGGAGCTTCTGCATAACTCGTTGGGGGGGGCTTTTTTGCTTGTGCGTAGCTTGAAGAGCCCCGCGCTCGGAGAGCACCACGATGCATGTCCGTCACCAGTACGGATTCCCAGGATATAGTTTTGTCAACTTGTTTATCATGGTCTCCGCAAGTGTTTAACGCCGCTTGAGCACATCGATGAAGACTAATCTTCCGATGTGGTGTTATTTTGCATGGAAACGGGTGCATATTCAGCGAGAATACGAAGTAGCTGGAAAAAGCATCGAGTCTCGGGCAGCAGTCCTGAGCCTGGGTGTGGCAGCTCCAGAGTCCACATGCAGGAAAAGGGGGGAAATTCTCGCATGTCTGTTGTATTATTTTTTTCATTTTCTTTTCCAGTATCCCAATATAACTATAACCCAAATCTTTAAATGCAAGCATTTCATCTGCTAAAGCATGTCAGTGAAGACAGTTCTGCTGGTGTGGCACGTGGTGCAGCGACATCAGACAAACAGGAGACAAATTGCTGTCGCGTGACTGTTGCCAGGTTGCACCCAGGGTCCTCATATGAGCTATAGTCACTATAGTCTAAATTCCTTAAAGGAGGTTATATAAAGGATGATATAGGGGAGTATTATAGGGGTTCTTAAGTGGGATATTGGGAGTTTAGGCTTTAGACTATAGCTCATATGAGAGAGCATTGCCGATACAGAGTCGTTGCAGGTACCTCGTTGCACACGAGCAGCTCCAGGTACATCATCGGCCGTTCGAGGCACTTCCGCTGTCGAAAGTGTGCAATCCCAGTGTGATTGCAACAGGAAGGCAGATCGCAGGCAAAGTCGGAATGTGCATCTGGCAACGCCTGTGAAAATGCAAAGAGACAAAAATCGGTTAAGGTACCCTATTATGGGTATATATGGGGTATATAGTTTAGGGCCCCTGCCTTGGGTCACTTTGCTCTTTGCAAGCCTGTAAGCTTTTGCTGCATGCTTCCTTGGTGCTCCCTGCACTCCCAAATCCTTAAACCCTGAACCCGCGCGCTTAATCCCTAATCACAAAACCTTAAACCCCAAACCCGATACTTTCTAGCCCCTATATAATCCGTAAGCCCTATACTACATAGCCCCTACATAGTCCCTAAACCCTATGCTATATAGCCCCATATAATTTCTTAAACCCTATACTATAAAGCCCCTGTATAATTCCCAAAGCCCTATACATTATAGCCCCTATATCATCCTAAACCCTATACTATAAAGCCCCTGTATAATTCCCAAAACCCTACACCATATAGCCCCTAGATAATGCCCCAAGCCCTATACTATATAGCCACTAGATAATTCCCAAAACCATACTACCATGACGGCTTACGTCTGCCTGCGCACTCTGCTGATTGGTATGGTGGCGCAGCTCGTTCGATGCGGAGGCGTCAGGTCTTGGAAAGCTAGCACGGCTATTGACCTCTTACCTGAAATTGAAAAAGTGTAACTATCATTGATATCATGGCTACTATTACTATTGTTAAAATTGCTACTGTGTTATAACTATCATTACTAGTACTCGTATTGCTTCTATTGCTATTGTTTGAGTTATTACTGTACTTGCAGAAGTCTCAGCCCTGCAGTTCAGGAAAGTGCGCTCCTCTCTGTTCTTGTTTGCCTCACCAGGCCTGATATAAAAACAAATCATTGGGCTCCACCGGGGCAGCTTAACCATGACTCAGATTGGGTTGGCAAACGCAACTTTACCAGATATGTTTAAAGCATCTTCTTTCTCCTATGAGGGAAAACATTGGCTTGTAAGGCCTCGCCTTGTCCCGACCCACATTTCTGGCTGGGTGAAAGGCGTGGGGATTCCTTGAGCTGATGGTAATCTGTTGCCAGCACATGCTCAGGGGCTAGAAAAATTGCGGCACCAGGCCATGTTGCGAAAGCTTAGCATGACTGCGGAAATTGTGTTTGACTGGAGGTGTCCGGTTTGCTTTGTGCTTCGTCGTGTGCGCGTGGTTGATATTGGGGTGCTTGGAAACCAATTAGGTGCGTTCAACGAATCTATTAACAAGGCACAAGGCACAAGTCACGTGATCAAAGCTTCTGCTTCTAGATGCAGTCACCTGCCGCTTCAGCCCACGCACCGATGCGGCCTTTTGCTCGCAAAGCAGACTTGAGCTTGAGCATACTAGAGCTCCTGCGGTTTCTGCACACCAGGACTACTGCCGCCGTTGCGGTGCAGTGCTGCAGGTCTGATGTATGATCCTCCATGTCTGGCTCCTTGACGGCTAGCTCCGGCTAAGGTGAGCCAACTCGCTCCCTGCGAGGAGGCCGCAGTATGTAAAGCTTCGTCTGTATATCTCATAGATTTATATGTAATTACAGGTGTATATACGTACATCTTGCTTCTTCTTATTGGACGTATGACGCGTAATACCTGCTCGTTTTTCCATCTTCATATATGGAACAAATCCCGGTGCCAAGACGACGAGGTGGCGGTCATGGCCGCAGGGGGCATCCTCGTCCGAGGCGGGTTGTGCTGGGCAAGGGAGTGATGCGCCTGGCCAAGGAGCAAGGCAGCCCAAGCATGCGATTCCGCGTACCCATAACCCCTAAACCCTGCATGTTCATCTGGAAGGCTTGGACTCGTCCAAGATGACAAAGCCGGACGCCAGAGCAGCCATCAGGTTCAAGAAGTGGACAGGGACAGGACCGGTGCCGAACTCCTCTGTTCGCTGCACACGTCACCTGCTGCTTATCATGCTGGTGTTCAACTTCTTGAGGAGCAATTGGGCCTTCATCAACATGTCAGCGGTGGAAGATGCCTTGCAGAAACAAGCAGCGCCCTCAGCAGAAGTCGAAGCACAAATTCTGCAGGCACAAGGTCTGGACGGCAGAGTTCGCTCTTGGCTGCCTGTAGTGTTAGAGAACGTTAGGGATGCAGTGGTCGGTTCATGTCGGTTCTAATTCCGGCCGCGGTCTCATCTCGTCATGTACTTGCCTATCCCTGGCTTGCCGAGCAGACAAACAGGAAAAATGGACACAGAACACCTGAGAAAAGACCAGGTCGGACTACAGAAGTTGCCAACTGCCTGACGGCATAGCCTGGTCTAAATGCAACGGACGAGATCTCAGAATACAACGCTAGCGAGGGCTTTACGACCCTCCTTTCCATTTGAAGATGGCTCACCGACGTTTGTGCAGGCGTCGTGCAGGCATATGCTTGGAGTTGACGGAGCCGCATGCTGTCTCACCATGATGTAGATACAGCTGACAGGCCACCATCGGACATTCCGGCCGTGATCCTACTAGGGACCTGATAGTCGATCTGCTTCATGAGCGGAGCATTCGCGTCAGCCAGCAAGTGCTCAATTGAGAAGGACGAGCAACATCCCCAAAGTCGAATGTCAAACTCTCCGATCGTGACCATTCTTCAGCGCTTGTGTCTTCGGCTTCCTCTTGGCCAAGGCACCGATATCTGGTAGTGGACAACATGCCCAAGAAGGCTCAATGACCACTTGGCGATGCATACCTGTCGTCCTCCTTGCAAAAAATGAGCCAGAACGTGCAGCAGCACACGCAGCAAGCCTCGCTGCTAGCATCCTCCTGTTGTCATCGGCTTGCCTGGCTCTATTATGCCATGTAGCTGTTTTTAAGAACCCAGTTCTCTGCCTGTACCCAAAGAGACTCCAACCAGGGACCTCCTGGCGTCGTGCAAGAGGGATCCAGTTACTTGGTTGTGTTAGTTTTTGCTGGTGGGTGAGCCTTAGAGCTGTCATCCACCAAGGGTGCTGTGCTTTTTTGCACGCCTGTGCCGTCATTTTCGGACTGTCGTAGGGCCTTGCTCCATCCCTGGGAACCTCGGTACATGTTCTGAACTTATGGAAGAGTTCAGCAGGGCATCTTAGAGCCCACTCTGTCTGAGTTGCGTACTCGGCAGCAGGCTTCCTTCAGGCAACTAGTAGCTAGATCTTTTTGCGAGCGTTGGAGATAAGCAAACTGCACCTCAGTAGGACTGCTGCGGTTCTCGACAGCAGCATGATAGCAGTCTTGATGGCCAAGGCCGCAAGCAACGCGGAAGAAGACAGCTGTTCCAGGAAAGCGCGGTTTTAGCAGGACTGGGCTACTCCTTTGTTAAGCCTCACGAGCCCTATCCGGTCTCTAAGATATCTTCAGGCTGGCTGCACCAAGTAGCGTCACGCTTAAAGCAGCAGGGCAGGTTGCATTCGGGTTTTTGATGGAGATTTCAACGTTGCTAAGGGGCATCCCTGAAAGATTGAGAGAAATGACTGGTTTCAGCATCAGTCAGTGCAAAGCTGAAAAGAGTAGAGCTCCAAGAAGGTGGTGAGAGTGACATTCTATCAGTGTATCTAAAGTGTAAGATCAAGCTTGTAGGACACGTCAGGTTTGCTCAAAGGGGCCGGCAGCAAGCAGGATGCCGCCAATCCTGCGTCCGAGGGGGATGATGTGGACCTGCATTCTGGCGGCGCAGGAAAAGGACATCCTGGAATTCTGCAGTGCCCTAGCTTTCCGCGTTGACACTTTGAGGAGAAGGGCATGGGCAAGCAGAATTACCAAGCACTCCTGACGGTGCTGACGGTGATGGCCCTGTAGCAGGCCACGGGTTTCAAAATCATTGCCGCATCGCATGTAATTCAACAGCAGCAAAGCAACTTGCAGCTTCAGCGGCTTGTTCTTGCATCGGGCCCAAGTGCGAGTAAAGAAGACGTCGCACTTCTAGATTCTAGACATCTCCGCAGATGCCAAAGCTGGAGGACTGCAATTGTTGCACTGCATTGACGTCTTGGGCAGTCCAAAGCCTCCGGAGGCTCTTCGTGTAGGCCTGCCTGAGTTTTGCAGGTGCACGCAGAATGAAGGTGGGCATTTTGTCTTTGCCATTGATCCTCGCAACTTGCGGCGCTGCACTGGCAGGAGGTACTTGCTTGCCGAACGCAGTGCCGCTAGAGCAACGGAAGAACCTGCGCAATGCAGAGGGCAAGTCATTTCCGCTC